CCCCCCCCCCCCCCCCCCCCCTCACCCCGACTGCCGCAATTCCCTGACTCCGGCGTCGTTCCGGCTTCCCCTCATGCTGTCGCCCTCCTTGCCGTTTCCATCTTGCTTCTCGGCCCTACCTGCGTCCTGGCGCCCTCGCCCTGGTATCCTCTCTTCTGTTCCCTTCGACTCTCTCCTTCTCTTTCCTTCGCTTTGGGACGGGGCTCCGACCGCGCGTCAGGCTGCCGAGGCGGACTTCACGCAGGATATCACATATTCCCGGTCGTTGATCCTCGGCGAACTCCAGCGCCGGCTGGACAATCTCCCGGAGGACCAACTCAAGCTGGCACGGACCCTGGCCACCGAGGAGGCTGCCGCCGGAGTGCCATCTCACAGCGGCGACCCCTTGAAGGTGGACTCGGCTGATGCTCCCCCAGCGGCCGCGGCCGACCCTGCTAGCCAGGCGAAGGAGCAGCAGCATTCCGGCGAGAGCACCGGGCCGGCCCCGGGCGCCGGCCATGCGCAGCTTCTCCGGCGCCTGCAGCACATTCAGAAGACCGTGGCTCGAGCGGCGGATAACCGGGCGGCCGCGGTGGCCGCCCGGGCGGCCATCCATGCCGAGGCCATGGCCGCGGCCACCGCCGCCTCGACCAGCCCAAGTACTCAGGCTTCTCGCTCGTCGACCCCTGTTCCGGTGGGCTCGGTGGCGGCGGCGACGGCGGCAGGCGCTTCGGCTTCGGCGGCTCTCCCGGCCCCGGCGAACCCGTCGGGCCTCAAGTTGAAGGTCGGCGCCGGGCGCGTGAGCAAGGTCCTCCCGTCGGGCGGTGTCCCGGTGTCGGGGTCTGGACCATCGCGGGTGCGCCCGGTCGCCGCCGGCGCCGGCATCGGTGCCGGTGGCACGGTCGGCTCCTCAGATCCGGGCGATCCGCCACCGGGCGCGAAAGCCGCGCCGGGTGGAGCATCGACTGGTCGACCGGCCGTCGGGGCCGGCGTCACTGGCACGGCTCCCCCAGTCAAAGGTGCAAAGCGCGGCAGCACCCCGGGAGCCGGGGGCTCGGCCGGGGCCGAGTCATCAACCAAGCCGGCGCCCGGCGGGGCCTCTGGCGTGACGCCAATCGGTCGGCCAGCCAAGAAGGCCGGGTCGGCCAAGCCAACGGCTCCTGGCCGGAAGATGAGCACTGGTGGGACCAAGGCCGCCGGTTCGGCGGGCCCGGCTGGCCGCGCCGCGGCTGGCGCCCCCGGCACCGGGTCGAGCAAGGCCGGCATCGCCGCAGGCACGGGCCCTGGAACCTCAGCGCCGGGGCCGGGGCCGGGGCCGGTGTCTCTTCCCACCGTCCCCCGGTCGGTCGGTGCGGTGGCTGGCAAGCGCCTCCCGACGACGGCCGGCTCGGCGGCCGCCGAGGCGGCCCCCCCTCGGAAGGTTGGGGCCGCTCTTCCTCGGGCCCCTGGCGGCCGGAAGGCCTCCTCCTCGGCGAGCGTGCCGGCTGCCGCGCGCGGCGGTGTGGCCAAGGCCAAGGTTGCTGCCGCGGCAGCGGCGGCGGCGGCCGCCGCCGGGGCGACCGGCCAGAGCCGCGTGTCCAAGTCCCCGGCCACGGCCAAGCCGCCGGCATGATGGCCGGGTCTGTCCGCGCCCCGAAGGGGCGCACATGTGCCTCAGTCTGCGGGTCTACGTGCGTGCGTGTGGGTGTGGGCGCGGGTGTCTCTTGCCGCATGAGCCCCTCCCCCCCGCCCAATCCCCACCCCGCTTGCCTCTTGTTCCTTGTTCTCTCTCTCTCTCTTCCCTTGTGTTTCCTGTCCTCTAGACCCGCGTTGGGATCTGCGGCGCTCCCATGGTGCGCGTGTGCGCGCTCGTTGGCCAACTACACATCCCACATCACATGCTGCTCCGTCTGATCGTGGGAACTCTCTGCAACCGTTTTTCTCGCGCTCGTCCGTCGCTTTGAAAGTGGGCAGTTGGCCGGATGGCGGCGCAGGCCAGGGGGGGGGTGGGGGGGCTCGCTTGAGATCTGGCCCGTTTGCCTGGCCCTAGTGCCTATGCCGGGGCGGCCACGAAGGG